ATAAATTATTTTTTGTAATGTTATCATACTTTTACCTCTCCAATACAGGACAGTAAACTTCTGAATGATGAATTTGAAGTAGTTGTATTTCTATATGCATTTGGTACTGCTTTGTTAGAGACTTCACAAGTTCAGGTGAGTTGAACATTTGTGATACTGCTACCAGTTTTATTATGTAAGAAATAAATCATTTTAACTTCAAACTTCTGATGATTGCCATTTAATGGCAATGAAAGTTTTATTATCTATTGATAACTCCAATTTCCAGCACTGTTTTCCAAGTCTAAGACTTGTCATTGTCTAATTGATTGCTAGGAGCTGGAAGAAGCTTTTGAAAAGTTTCAGTGTATAATTATTGAGCATCAGTCAATGATATTTCCGTTAGCATACTATGGAAGAGGAAGAGCATTTATTCAACAAAACAGGTACAATAATACATTTGTATAGTTCATGTAAACCATTTCTTTCTTTGCTGTTTTTATTACCAAGAACATAACGTTAGCATTACTCTTAAGTTGATATTAGGAAGATTTCTGTAATACAATTGCAGTACATTTTGTCGTCTGGCATTTATTTTTAAGTATACTTCATTCCTATTATGTCTGTTATGTATGTATATGTGTATGTATGTATGTATGTATGTATGTATGGAGAAAAAATAATTCCTACTCTTCTTCTGTTGTACTGCACAAGAGCGTTGCACATTCAATCACGAATTTTGGCCTCTGTGTGCTTCATGCGATAATTTATCGGAGTTAGCATCATATAACATGTAATAGACAGACTCTTTGGCTTTATTTTTTTGTAGGTACTTGGAAGCCTTAGTCCCACTTAAAAAAGGATTGACAATTCTCAGTCGACATACTAATTGTCCTGTCCTTGATTGGCCAGGCACAAAACAAATCATTCCAGAAAGTGAATATAATAAAATGGAGGTATGATTTGTGTCTACATACTTTAATTTGTGTGTTCTTATTACTGTTAATTACTTTAGGATGGTAATCTTGTTAAAAGATCTGTTTGTTTTCATTGGTTTTAACATGCCTGTGTTTACGTAATTGAACTCTGGAAGAAGATTGTACGTGGTGGCTGATTGACCAGAGAAACGCCTCTGTAATTTATGTAACCAAATGCGCTAATAATAGAACAAATACAGTGTGCTTTTACTTGTGTGTCTCTTATTTCTACATATGCCTTCCATTATACATGTAGAACATTAAAAAGTTATTTATAAATATTATTTATGCCAACTCAACTCTTTTTTTTTTTCTGCTCTTACTGAATATAGGCTTGCTTTAAGTCGCTTATTCTGTTGTGTAAAGCACCTCCACCACCAGATACTGTCTGTCGATATGAGCACTGCACCGGCTTCTACAAAGTACAGATCTATTATAGTGATCCTGATTTTAAAGGCTTCATTCATACAGAGTGCTACGATAACTGCAGGATTGATTATCATCCCTCCTGCTGGAAAAAGGTCAAGGGAAAATCGCTTGATAAGGTGAAATTGAAAATATGCTTTATTTAAAAGTTAATGAAGGTTGCATGGCAACATCACTCTGTCCACTCACAGATTCCCTGTATTTGAGGAACTGTAGTTGTTCGGGTAAGTGCCCAGGGTCCTGAACATGGAAAATTGTCAATAAATAGGGGTGGGCATATGCCTGGACATCCCCTGCAAAAAAAAAAAAAAAAAAAAAAAATTTGGGAAAATTGACCATGTGCAGAACTGTGGCAGAGAATAGAATGAAAATGAAAACATGCAACAGAAATAAATGAACAATATGCAACATCAGAAGTATAGCAAAAATAATTTATTGCTTATAATGTGACAAATAAATAAGAAATAAAAATCTACAGTGAGGAATCATTTGAATTAGGATTTCCCCACGGCAAACACACCCAATACGCATGAACTCAAAATAAACTAAAATGTCAGGGGTTAAATTGCGTAAAACTATTTCCTTTTTTGAAAAATACTGGATCAATAGTCATAGACGAACAATAATTATTTGCGAATTTAAACTGTAAAAACTACGAAAGTTCATAGTTGTAACCTCTCAGATCTCCGTTTACACGTTTGTTACCATCTTCATCAAAATCAAAACCTTTAAAGTCCAGGTCGGCGTCACTGTCCACTGCCGTCCAACAAAATCGCTACAGCTTCATCCTGAATTTCGTCGATGTCATCGCACACAATTTGGACTTAGCACTTTTAATCCATTTAATTTAATCCTGTCTGTCAGCTTGACATGTCTTATCACAAATAAATACCTGTGCAATAATGCCACAGTATGGTATGCTTTGACTTGAGGCATGGGATAATAAATATTATTTGTTATTATCTCCAGGATTTTATAGGTTATCCTTGTTTTACACCAGATTGCAATGCTGTTATTATTCTTGTGAGAATCTACAGTCAAGATGGTCTTGTTAAGACAGAAGTAAGTAATTCAGAAGTTTACATCATCGTTTCTTTACATTCAGTATAACATGTTGATGTTGACCCACTATTTGTATTATTTTAAGTTAACTGGTGAAAAACCAGTCAAGTTTAAAAAAGAGAAGACAGCTGTACCGCCTCCTCTGAAAACTGTAAATGAAAAGAAATTAGAAAAACTGCGATTGAAAAAGGAAAAGAAAAGACTAGCTAAAGAAAGCTTAGTCAAAATTGAAAAGAGTGTGGAAAATGCTTCTAATCAGGTCATTGTAAATGGTAAGTTATTTAAATGGTAGTTACATTGTATTTTGAAAATACTGCAAAGTGTGTGACTGACTAATTGACTGCATGAGCATACATAGTACTGTAGTATTCCTATAATAAACTATTATTCAAGTAGTATTCCCACAGAGTGGTTCTTTGTACAATTTAAATAAAAGCAAATGCTTGAATAAATTTCAAAACCTGAAGCAGGTATCCTGTACATGTACATGTATAAGGGAAAATTAAAATTTGTATTGAGTGCAGATACGTTTTGGAATTAGTATAGATACAGTGTATGTTTTGGAATGAATATAGATCGGTTTTGGAAAGAATATGGATATGTTTTGCAAAAAGTATAGATACATTTTTGAATGAGTATTGATACAAATTTGGAATGTTTATACATGTAGATATGTTTTGGAACGAGTATAGATACGTTTTGGAAAGAGTATGGATTTGTTTTGGAACGAGTATAGATACATTTTTGAACGAGTATAGATCCATTTTGGAACGAGTATAGATACATTTTGGAACGAGTATAGATACATTTTGGAACGAGTATAGACACATTTTGGAACGAGTGTAGATATGTTTTGGAACAAGTATAGATACATTTTTGAACGAGTATAGACACATTTTGGAACGAGTATAGATACATTTTGGAACCAGTGTAGATACGTTTGGAACGAGTGTAGATACATTTGGAACGAGTAGAGATACATTTTTGAACGAGTATAGATACATTTTTGAACGAGTGTAGATACGTTTTGAAACGAGTGTAGGTACGTTTTGGAACGAGTATAGATGTTTTGGAATGAGTGCAGTTATGGCTTTTTAGGGAACTGTAAATTCTATTGTTTTTGCTTCTAGATGCTTAATATATACAGTTACGCTGTACTAGTTGGGGTTTATGGACATTGATTCTTGTCTCATGTGATGAGTGCTGTGTTGAATGCATGTAAACTGATGTCACTTGTAGGAGCACATTTATTGACTCCCGTGTGCGAAGCACAAAAAGAGTCTTTGCAGTTAGTGTGTCTGTGTGTGTGTGTGTCTGTCTGTTCCACTGATATCTCAAGACCCACTCATTTTGATGAAACTTGGCACATAGATGCTCTGAACTAATGCACAGATTTGATTAGTTTTGGGTAAAAATCTGTGCAATATTAATTACCTAATTTGCATAATTAATTAATTTTCAGCTTTTGATATTTCAAGTACTAATCATCACATTTCAATAAAACTTGGTACATAGATGTCATAGGACACTGCACAGACCTGATAGTTTTTAGTGAAATATCAGTACATATTAATTACCTAATTTGCATAATTTTATAGAGTATTCATCATCATATTTCAATGAACCTAGGACTATGCAGAGACCCAATTAGTTTTTGGTAAATATTTATGCTTATTAAATTTTCTGATTGACTGAGAAATTTTATTTTTAAATAATTGTTCTCAAAAAATAAACTGA